TCTATCTATCTATCTATCTATCTATCTATCTATCTATCTATCTATCTATCTATCTACCTACCTACCTAATAAATATATATTCCACTTCAATTCCTAGTATTAGAACTGCTTTCAACTCAGTTCCGTAGAAACTTACAAAACAAAAAAGAAATCAGTGGGGACTTCAAACAAAGGGTTATTTTACAGCGCAATCTATAATCATAAGTCAGATTCCTTTTTTTGTTTTTAAAATTAAATTCTAGGGTCTGTATACAAAGTAATGTTTCACTGCGTCACCATGATACCTATACACAGCCACACTTTGTTTTCATTCATTTTCCTCCTTAGTTGGCCTCCCTCAGGCTCTCTTCCTCCTCTGGCTGCTTCCTTTTCTTCTTTTAGTTACTTCCAGTTTATGCCTTATTATTATCTGTATTCCATTACCTTCAGTATTCCGCTTTTCTTGAAATCCTTCCTTCCCCTCTCACAAGGTCTCCTTTCTAGTTCTGGGACTCCCTTCGCCACACATGCATGTATGCAAAGTTTAAAGTCTAGGTTCTGCAGGTGAAAGAAAACTTGCAGTGTTTGGTTTATTTTGCTTATCATGGTGATTTCCAGTTACATCATGTTTCCTGCAGATGTCTTGATTTCTTTTTTCTTTATATCTGTAAAAATTTTCATTGCGTGTTTATAATGTGTGTGCTACACTAAGTATTTGTTCACTATTTTATGTGCATAGGTGTTTTGCATGCATGTATGTCTGTGCATGATGTGTGTGTATTGCCTGCAGAGGCCAGAAGAGGACAATGGAGACTCTTGGCTCTGTTTCTTGCTTATTATGAACAGGGCATCTATAAACAGGGATTTGCAACGGTCACCATGGTCTGCTGTTGCTGCTTCTTATTATATACCCTAGAGCAGTGTAATTGGGTCAGATGGTAGTTTTCAATGATTTGAGGAATCTGCATATCAAGGACCATTGTCTCTGTGAAGTTTACACCCACGACAGCAATAAGTACTAGTTCCTCTTTCCCTGTAACTTCACCAGTATTTGATGTCATCGCTTAAGAAGGGTTTTACATCTATCTGGTGTGTGTGTGTGTGTGTGTGTGTGTGTGTGTGTGTGTGTGTGCATGCAGGTATGTACCACAGTATGCATGTGGAGGTCAGAACAAAACTTGAAGTTGGTCCTCTCCTTCCCCCGTGGGTTCCGAGGATGGAATTCTGATTCAGGCTTTGTAGCAAGTACGTTTTCCCACTGAGCCACCTCGCCTATTCTCGTTTGCTGTCTTGATGTCATTCTGGCTGGGGTGACACAGAATTTCAAAGCAGCCTTAGTTTACATTTTCCTGATGCCTAAGGACACTGAACACTTTTTTTTTTCCAAGTATTTATTGACTATTTGTGATTCTCCTTTTGAGAACTGTGTTTTCAGTTCATTGGCCCACTTATTGATTGGGTGAACAAAATGGATGGAACTTCAGTGGTGGTGGGAGCATTTGGATTTTCTAATGACACTTCTGAAAACGTACAGAAGTTTAGTCAAGCCTATAACAAAGTCTTGTTAGCGTGCACACAGCCGTCAGGCATTTAGGAAAAAGCAACTTCTCAATTCCTTGAAGATTATCAATATTCTCATAGTAACTATGGTAATTAGAAAATAATTTTGAAAGGGTTATATTAAAGGACAATTCCCAGAGATTTTTAATTTCATCATTGTTCTTCTCTGTCTTCTGGGTAAAATAAAAAAGGCTCTAATTAACCTTATATTAAACTAAGCCATACAATTCTGGTTTTAAAATGCAAAGTGTATTAAAGAACTTTCTAGGGTAATGTAAATATTCTACATCTCATTTCATGTGGTGAGTACATGGGTTACACAACAGTAAAAGTCCTTCATTGGAACAACTGCTGTGTTTGCACATTAGGTAAGATATACATACATCTTGTGTGTATGATAACACACAACACACACAAGCTGACAACATCACCATTGGCATTGTCAGAGGGATAATGGATAATAGAGCAAGGCAATGGTATCTTTGAAATCATTTAAAACTACATAGTTGTTTATTATTATTATTATTATTATTATTATTATTATTATTATTATTTGTGTATGTGTGCAGGCGTGTGCGGGTGTGTGCATGTGTATGCCAGGGTGTAGATGTATAGTCCCAGGGCTCCACCTCTGGTCACCAGGTTTGACAGCGAGGGTGCTTACCTACTGGGCCCCTTCACTGAGTCTTAAAGCCATTATTAACTATGCAACAGCCAGTCCTAGAGTCCACTCATCTTCACATGTTTTGGTTTTAAATCTATCACAATATATACTTTAAAGAGTTTTAATTTTCGTCGTGTGTACATGTGCCTGTTTGTGTGTGGGTGCGTGCATGTGGGCCCAGCACTAGAAGAGAGTGCCAGATCCTCGGTACCTGGAGCTCCAGGGGCCGTGAGCTACCCAGCATGGGTGCTGGGAACCCACGTTTGCTGCTGGAGCAGTCCATGTGGTTAACTGCTGAGCTGTCTCTGAAGCCCCAGCATGCAACCTGCTGCTGAAGGCATCCCACTTTAACCTCCTACCACCTTCACAGCCTAAGCTCTTCGCACCCGTTCCAGGAGACTGATGATGCCGTCTATGGGACTGGACAGGCTGTGAGTGTACCTGCCCTGTCTGGTCTTGGTCCTGCTCATACATCAGGATCTGTTTCGTCAGAAGCCTTCTAGACTCTGTGATTAATTTAGTAGGAGCATGCCTGTCATCTTGTTTAGTGCACCTCTTTTCTTAATTTCGTAGTAGATGGGGACTCTTTGGAATCACCCTAACTGATCTGCAGCCTTTCCAGAGCATGGTTTCATTCACTGCCCCAGCCTAATTATGTTTCACTAAAAGTACAGAACATAATGCTTTGTGATAAGAGAAAAATAAAACCTACAAGCCATCTTATACTAATAGCCTGAAGTTAGCAGCTGTGCAAATAGTGTGGGTTGGGATTTGCTTCCCGCTCTATTAAGAATTTGGAAAAAAACATGTTTATATTGGACTACAGTCTACATGGCCAGTAAGGGAGGTAACATGTCTTTGCACTGGCTCCGAAGGCCATTACCATTGTTCTAAGCCTGTTTAGAAAAGAGAAGGCCCTGACAGGGCCATGGATTGAGGACCAAACCCTCCAAGTCTGAGGATTACAACATGAAGTACTTTCATCATAGGAGTCACTAATTAGGGACCCCAGTGTTAGGGAGGAAGAGAGCAATTTACCCACAATTACATGTAATTTAGGATTTGATAGCAGTCCCCACGGTTGCCTCCTGGGTGCTTGCGGCCATGCTTTATTTTCATTTTCTACTTACTTTCCCACTAAGCTTTCAGGAAGTGGGTAGGTGATCCTTTTCCACCCTTTCGTTGGGAAGAACACAGATGGCTGAGAAACAGTTCCAGCGCATTTTGGGTCAGCAGGTAAGCACTGAGGAACTAGATAATTCCAGCTCACACCAAAGTCAGTAGAATACTGCACGTGAATTTGATTCTGGGCAATTTTTTCGGACACTTTGCATCCAACAGAGATCTAATAAACAGAAAATGAAGACTGTCAAGGCATGAAAACCACATTACATATTTCAGCTCCAAAAAAAATTTGGCAGCAAGAAAGGTACAGATCTCTTGATATCTTCCACCCGGCATGTTCATGCTCATTGTTTGTTTTGCTGATGGACAAGAGACACTGGCATGGGTGCCCAAGGTGGCAAACTGTAGGAAGTGCCAGGTCCATTGGGTAAGGAATTGGGAGAAGCTGAAACCTGTGCCTCCGCCGCGCTGGCTGCCTTCTGTGGAAGGCCTGGACCCACTCTTACAAATTGTTTTGCTAATGGTCTGGCTCTTATGCTTGGCAGAATAGCTGACCAAGAAGGATTGCTAACAGCCTTGCTAATTTTACTATTTTGTCATACAATTTATAACTCTTAATAAATCACTTTCACCAACAAGCAAGATGCTTGTGATAACAGAAGCACGGCTCCTTTAATGTAGTGACAGCCATAATGAGTCGGCTCTGCAAACACAGAGGGATTCGGGTAGACGGAATATAGCAGAACAAATCCTGTCCAGAATGTCATCCAAAGCTGTTCTTGGCATGAATTCTAATCATGCTGTAATACTCTATAATTTTTTGTTCTACAGAAGCATCCTAATGCGCTTCTAGAGAAAGTAGACATAACCATGATAGCTTTAGTCTCGTAAAGAAACAACTCATCTTTGGTTTTTTTTCAGACAGGGTTTCACTCTGTAGCCTTAACTGGCCTGGAACTCAGTATCTAGACCAAGCTAGCCTCAAACTCACAGAATTCTGCCTCTGCCTCTGCCTGAGTGCCTGGATTAAAGGTGGGTACCACTACAGCTGGCCATCTTAATTTTTATATAGTGACTTAGCTTAGTAAGTTGCAATCGGTATCTTATACCTTTAAGCCAATAGTTTATTCTATAAATATATAATCATGATCATAAATATTTGCTTTTATGCAAAGTCCTAAATTTACCTTGAAATAGTATAGAAGTATAATATTTTAATCATTAAGTAATTTTTAGATGAGCTGTATGTTACCTTAATACTAAATTTTATCTTTCAGAGTATATATTAAGCCAGTGAAATATTAAATGACTTTTTATGATGGTTCTGATTAGTTAGACTACTAATGTATGATTATTTATGTTTAGGACCATGATAACTTCACCTTGAATTGCATGATCCAGTTTTCAGTGGGAGTCAGGTCGTGGGTCACTGCATACACCTCTCGTCCATCATGGCTGCCACAGATCATGACACCATCAGGGGAGTCACAGAATCTTTCCACTGTACAGTCGTCATGGAATAGCCAATTCTCATTCACTTAAAAAATAAAAAGGACAAAAAAATGGATGACAGATTTAGCAAGAACTTAAGTTAATATTTACATTAACCAAATCCTAGAATTAAGTTGAATCATTTTTACATATTATATGTCACATAAAGTAAATACTAATATAAACATCACTTTATAACATGGATATTAGAATAACTGATAGAGACCCAGTGCATTTTTTGAGGGATGGGATGGTTAAGACAAGGTCTCACCATATGGCTCAGGCTGGCTTCAAACTTAGGATTGATCCTCATATCAGTCTCTTGAGTGTTAGGTTACAAGCATGTACTATCATGCTCAGCTCCTCAACGTATTTTAAAATAAAATGTGCACCTGTCCATCCATTTATCCATCCATTTATCCATCCATTTATCCATCCATCCATCCATCCATGTAGTGGAAGTTTTGGTTTCTTTAAACAGTCAGTTATATTATATAACTATCTGTTTTAACCCCAAATGTGGGATATGGGACTGCCTTAGCTTTAGGGGCATGGTCTTCACCAGCTACAGATAGTGGAATTCTTTTTTTTTTTTTAATTAAATTTTTATTTTTTTTACATTAATTACATTTGATTCACTTTGTATCCCAGCTGTAGCCCCCTTCCACATTCTCTCCCAATCCTGCCCTCCCTCCCTCATCTCCTCCCATGCCCATCTCCAAGTCCACTGATAGGGGAGGTCCTCCTCCCCTTCCATCTGACCCTAGCTTATCAGGTCTCATCAGGATTGGGTACAATGTCCTCCTCTTTGGCTTGGCAAGGCTGCTCCTTCCTTGGGGGGGGGTGTCAGAGCCAGCCACTGAGTTCATGTCAGAGACAGTCCCTGTTCCCCTTACTAGGGAACACACTTGAACACTGAGCTGACATGGGCTACATCTGAACAGGAATTCTAGGTTATAAACATGCATGGTCCTTGGTTGGAGTATCAGTCTCAGAAAAGACCCCTGGGCCCAGATTTTTTGGTTCTGTTGCTCTCCTTGTAGAGCTCCTCTCCCTTCCAGGTCTTTCTATCTCCCCTTTCTTTCACAAGATTCCCTGCACTCTGCCGAAGGTTTGGTTATGAGTCTCAGCATCTGCTTTGATATATTGCTAGGTAGAGTCTTTCAGAGATCCTCTGTGGTAGGCTCCTGTCCTGTGCCCTGTTTTCTCCCTCCTCCGATGTCCATCCCATTTGTCTTTCTAAGTGAGGATTGATTATCTTACCCCAGGTACTCCTTCTTGTATAGCTTCTTTAGGTGTACAGATTTTAGTTTGTTTATCCTATCTTATAGGTATGGTATCTACCTTTAAGTGAGTATATACCATGTTTGTCTTTCTGCTTCTGGGATACCTCACTCAGGATGATCTTTTCTAGTTCCCACTATTTGCCTGCAAATTTCATTATTTCCTTGTTTTTAATTGCTGAGTAGTATTCTATGGTGTAAAAGTACCACAATTTCTGTATCCATTTCTTAGTTGAGGGACATCTGTTTCCAGGTTCTGTCTATTATGAATAAAGCTGCTACAAACATGGTTGAACAAATGTCTTTGTTGTGTACTTGAGCATCTTTTGGATCTATGCCTAGGAGTGGTATAGCTGGATCTTGAGGAAGCGCTATTCCTAATTGTCTGAGAAAGTGCCAGATTGATTTCCAGAATGGTTGTACAAGTTTACATTCCACCAGCAATAGAAGAGGGTTCCCCTTTCTCCACAACCTCTCCAGCCAGTGTTGTCACGTGAGTTTTTTATGGGTATAAGGTGAATTCTCAGGGTCATTTTGATTTGCATCTCCCTGTGGCTAACAACGTTGAGCATTTCTTCAAGTGTTTCTCTGCCATTCGATATTCCTCTACAGAGAGTTCTCTGTTTAGCTCTGTACCCCATTTTTTAATTGGATTACTTGATTTGTTGCTTTTTAACTTCTTTAGTTCTTGATATATTCTGGATATTAGCCCTCTGTCAGGTATAGGGTTGTCCTTAACCTGACAAAAACTAAAGTGTAATATAAAGAGATTATTTAAGAAACTCAGGTTAAAATAGGTACGGTGGTGCATACTGTAATCCCAGTAAGCAGAGGCCACAGGATCAAGAGGTTAAGGCTAACCTTGGCTACACAGCAAGTTTGAGCAGCCTGGGCTACATAAAACTGCTTCAATAACATGAAACATGAGCAAAAAGAAAACAAAACAAAACAACACAACAAAAAGAAACAAAACCCCCCCAACTCTCTGAATATCTCTGAAATGCCAAGTTTACTTCACTAATGTTCTTTATATAAATGTGAATATTTAATTATGTATATAGTAAGTAAGTTGGCATTATTCCTTTATTCTTTATATAAATGTGAATATTTAGTTATGTATATTTAAAAATCTGAAAAAGTATATTTAAAATGATTTCAACTTTTCTAAACCAGATCAACAATAATTCTTCGAGGAAATGTACTGCGCAAGTATATATATATATATATATATATCTGGATTAATTTAGAACGCTCTCTAAGTACTTTAAGAAGCAGAATTATGAATTATTAGTGCATAACCCATCTTCTGTGTTGAGCCTCCATCTCTCAATACAAACATGCAAATGCACATACAACTGGGAATATATATCCACCTCCTTCACAGTTCCATCTATGTATGTATATATGTCTGTATCTAGCCATCTATATATGTATGTATGTTGTTGGCTTGGAATTCTCACTGTAGCCCAGGTTAGCCTTGATCTTGCAAACTTCCTGCCCCAGTCTCTGTAGTGTGATTGCAGGCCTGTGTCACTGTGCCTAGTGGGAAGAAGTAGTTTTATATTGTGCTTGTTAGCCAGTAAAGCTGGAAACATAGGTAATCTAAATTGCATCTAGTTGATCTCATAGGTCCAATTTTCAAAGCTTGCTAGTCAGCCCCAGTCTACAATGGGGATAATCAGGCACAACTACAGCCTTGGGGCAGGCATGCCCTCAGCAGAGGCAGATGGCTTCAGAGATGCAAACAGGCCAAACAATTTTCTTATAATTCAGGCTTCACCCATAGTGAGTGGCCAGAGTACATGCGCCTGCAGAACAACATATTGCTGGGATTCTCATGGCTTGATGGCATCATTCTACTATTTGTGTCTTCATTCTGAGGGGTTTGGAGTCGCAGATATAGGGCCTGGAATCAATGTGAACCAACATTTAAATTCCAATGAGCTCCAGAGCCAGTTTCTCTGTGGGCACCCTTCCTTTTATGCCAGAGCGCTGTGGTCCTGATGAGAGGGCTCATCAGTGAGCCTGCCAGTCTCCTCCCCATTCTCAGAAGCTGCTTCTGGAGCAAACATTCCAGTTTCTAGCAACACTCCCCTGTAACAAAGGCAAGCACTAGAAAATTTGTTCTTCAATCACTTATCACAAGTCAGGGCCAAACTAAATCATCATATATATTAGGTACTTAAATTTAGTTTAATTGGCTTTGATTACTACAGCAGTAATATTTAAACTACTCTGATTGTAAGTTTACTTATGTAAAGTATTATTATACAGGGGAAAACAGATCAGTAACTTAGCAAAGATCTGAACCAGATCTACGTAAGCAACTCTCAGTAACAACTTCTGCTGCCTTCCTGTCCTCCTTCACCACCTCTTCCTTCTTCTTTTCTCCTCTCCTTTCTTCCTCTTCTTCTTTCCCCCATTTTCTCCTTCCCATTTCTTCTCCCTCTTCTTCTTCCTTCTCCCTCTCCCCCTCCTCTTCTGTGGTTTTGTTTTTGAAGCACAGTGTTCCTTTGTATTGCAGGCCCGTCTCAAACTACAACCCTCCTGGCCCGCTTCCTGACAGCAGGGACACAGGCCCAGCACCAGGCCCAGCTAAGACTGGGTAGCCTTCGGGGAACAGGAACACTGACACTTTAAGCCTTTTCCATTTGCCAGGGTGGATTTGGTTATTATTTGCAGTTACACATGATATCCTAACAAATAAAATAAAATTAATTACCCTAAATATTCATCAATACCAAATTGTAAAATACAATAAAGTTTTAAACTAGTAAAAATTTATCTTCTGAGACACTTATGGACATGAAAAACAACAACCTACCCCCCTCCAGGATTCAATTCTAAAGGAAAAAAAAGAGTGCTACAAAATACATGTAATTTGAGATCCCAGCTTTGTTAAAATATTTGTTTAAGTCATATAAAACACTAAATAATCTTAAACATACTGATAGTAATTATTCCCTGGGTGAGTCTAATTTTCATCCTCCAGATTTTCTGTATTTTTCTGATTTTCATGACTTGAACATGATTCATTGCTTTTACAATTAAACATTACTAATTCGGTGTTTTAAGTTATTAAAATTCCTTAAATTAAGTTTTCCCCTAGGTACACCATTTCTCTGGAAAGTTCTCACTATTGTAAAATTGGTCACACGACCTTTTTTTTTCATGCGAGATGTCAGAGCCAAGCAGGATGAAGCACAGCATTTTACTGTCTGAACAGCTGCTGTGACTGCTGGGCCAACCTACAGTGTGAGGAGGATAGACACTTCAATATTGCCAGCTTGTATCTGGCTGCACTATAACTAATGCATGTGTGATGGCAAAGTCACAGGCTTACTACAAGAGGCTACCTGAAACTACTGTAGTGTTACAGAATGAAGAGCGTTCCGATGAGAATGGTGTGCAGACACCACGCTGGCCAGCATCCCTCAACTATCCCTGCTGAGGATGAAGGATGAGAAGCCATACCTACATACAGCAAGCGGAATCCGAGACCTGATCTGAAACTTGAAATGCCATTGCACACATGCCTGGCTTGTAGAAAACACTATTCTCTGCCTTTAGCAAAGGAACCAGGAGGATGAGGGAGGAGGATCCCTGTGAGTTTGAGGTCAGCCTGAGCTTCACGGTGAGTTTTAGGAGAGCCTGATCTACAGGGTAAAACTCTGACCCAAACACCACCAGCAGCAGTACCGATAGGGCAGGAAATGTTGGTTTTTCTCCCATCCAAAGTAGAAAATAGGAAACACAGAAATGAAAATAATCCTCCCTACCTAATTTTTTCATCAATAAACTATTACTTATTAAAACATGTATCTGGATTAGAAAAACAGTAAAGATGAGATACAATGCCTAATGGGAAGGTTGACAGAGACAAAAGAATGATGTTCTTCTCTGTTTCTAAACACCTGGAAGGATCCAATTTCACGTCTGATAAGCCCCACACACAAACAACTGCATTTCAGCATTTGAGAAACAAGTCACCTGAGGTTTTGTCCTCCATGAACATGTCGAAAGCGATTCTCCCGATGGGGCCAGCGTCTGCGGGGGAGCGCTCATGCTGGGGTACTGGGGCGCTGCTGAATGTGTCCAGCATCACTGTCCGCTGGTCGGCAGAGCCTGAGATCAGGACATTGTCAATGGCCCAGTCGTTCTGGTCGAGGCCATCATGTCGTGGCTGCCACCAGCGGAAGCGAGTAGCAATCTCTTTAGCCTCCGGAGGGAGAAGGATATTCACAAATCTAAACAGAAAACAAGGAGGACGGGAGAGTGTTTGTTAAACATCTCATGTGAGGAGAAGGTCTGAAACAGCAGTGAGATTCTGTATGTCCCAGGGCAGTGAAGCGAGGACATTATCTCAAACTGTGCATGTGCAGTTGGCATGCAAAAATGTATGTTGGCAAGTGGAGGCCAGTGGTCAATGGGTCAATGTTGAGTATCTTCTCCAATTGCTCTCCACTTTATTTTTTGAGACAGGGTCCCTCACTGCCCTTGGAGCAGAGATGGACTGGCTGGTTAGAGGGCTCCAGGAATCCTGCTTACCTCTGCTGAGATTACAGGTGGATGCCACCAGACCTGGCTTTTAAAAGGATTCAGTTCCTATTCAGTTAAGTTCCTAATATGCTTACCTGGCAAGCTCTTTACCAGCTCAGCCATTTGAATCTATTACATTGAATTTCACACAATGTATCTTGATCATACTTTTTCTCAACTCCTCCCCCTAATCTCTCCCAGATACTGTCCTACCTTTCTACTCTTTTTTTTTTTTTTTTGTTCTGAGATGGGGTTTCTCTGTGTAGCCCCTGGCTGACCTGGACCTTACTCTGTAGACCAGGCTGGCCTTGAACTCAGAGATCCCCCTGTATCTGTCTCTCAAGTGCTGGGATTAAAGGCATGCATCATATATTTGGGTGTGGACTCTGATTAACTGGATTTGTTTTATAAATCACTAAACCAGAAAAACTGAATATAAACAATGTAAGCACCATAGCTATCTGTCCATTTGAGTTGCCTACGGACCTTAGACATTTGTGTCACTGAAGTATAGGTCTACAGTATACATACTTCGAGAGATACAAGCCAATATTGACCTTATTTACTTTTCCTGCCACATAAATGTTGGTTTCATCCTTCTTTCTTTCCTCCTTGGCACTTTGTTTTTTTACTTTAATCTAAGTAGCAGCAACAGGCTTAGAATATGGACACTAGCTTGTGGTAGGATTTTTTATTTGGCATGAAAGTAATCAGGTCTCAGTTGCCTATGGTATAGACAATGCTTTGCTAATGCGCTTCAATGAAAGCAGTGAAAGAAATACTGAAGGAGAACTGGGCTAACAAACTCTGCCTGTTGCTGACTTAGTCACCGAGGACACATAATTCAATGCTCCAATACAAAGTCATCATGTAGAGATGAGGCTTACACTTACAATGAAAATACTCATCGAAATCCAGCAATATAACCAAACATTTGATAATACTCAGAGCTCACAGAACTCAGGGGGAAACAGTTTCCTTAGTTTTCTACCTGTGCAGAAAACATTGTCTTTTTTTTTCTTCTTCTCCTTCTTTATCTCTGTTGTTCCATCTGTCTTTCAAGAGTGGCCTCTTAGTGCTAAAATTCCTGTCCAAGTTAATCTTGGGACGGATCCTAGAGCTAAGGGCTGTAATAATAATTGCTCGAGTTTTTGACTTTTACATTAAAGAGGTTTAATTATTTTTCTTTTGTTAGCATGGTATTTCCTTTTTTTTTCTTTTTCCTTTTTGGTGTTGAAAGCCTTAAACACGCTAGATAAGCACTCTCCCACTGAGCTACCTGCTCAGCCTTCCTGCTGCTCTCCTGTGTCTTTTCCAGCATAGTAGGCTGCATGGTGGACAGGGAGCAACGAGGCTGCATGTAATCGGGGTTCCGACCACTTCAGTCGCTTTGTGCCTTCTTTGGACCGTGAAGGATGAGTGAGTGTTGACATGGGGGAAGGATTATGTAGTCTGTGAATCCCACACCCTCAACTGTGTTGTTACTGGGTGCTTGGAGTCCAGCAGCTTTGAGGCAAAGTTTATTTCTCCATATCTCTCGATATGCCCGTCTCCCTTTAAAAACTGTTACTATTGCGTGTGGCTGTGTGGTGTGTGTGCTCATGTGCAGGTGTGAGGATGTTCTTGTTCATGCATGCATGTGTGGAGGCCACAGGAAAACACCAGGTGTCATGCTCTAGCATTCTCTGCCTCATTCTCTTGGGGCAGGAACATTTCAATTAGTTTACCCTTCTCTTTTATTTTGTTCTTTGGGATTTTCACATGATATATACCCATCACATTCATTCCCCTCCTCTAATTCTTCCCCTCTCCCTTTGGACCCAACTTCACATATTCTGTTTTCTTTCCCAAATGAAAGAGTGCCTGCAGTAGTTTGTGTTGGCTGACTACTGGTCATGGAGTCTGCCGAGGTGTGTTGGATACAGCATTAAAGAAAACTATTGTTCCCTCCCCCGGAAGGTATGAGGTGGGATTTTGTGCCCACCTCCCCTCCTCCACACTGGGATTTTGTCTGCTTTAAGCCTGAGCAGGTCTCGCGTGTGCTGCTTTTGTCTGTGTGAGTTCATACGTGCATCTGTCCTGATACGCCCGGAAAACCCCGTCTCCTTGGAGTCACACACTGCCTCTGGGTTTTACAACCCTTTTGCCCCATCTTTTCCATGGATTCCTGAGGCTTGAGGGGAGGAGGGTAACTCCCGGTCCAGCATTTATCTTTTCCCTTCTGTTGCTGAGATGGGGTCTCACTACGTTGTACAGGCTGGTCTTCAATGTACCATCTCCAGCGATCCCTCTACCTCAGCCAACACACTACAAAGGCACCACGACACCCAGTCTCGCTTCCACTTTTCTAATTGTCTATAGTGAATGCTTTTGGTCTTTCTAGAATATTTTTAAACGTCCATATATGATGGCGTTGTTTAGGGCTTTTAAGGAAGGAGTTAATGGGTTCTAGGCATCTTAAGGATATTCCCAGCTTACTGTTTTCATGTATATGCTGCGTAGATATGTTGCAAACAAATGTTTGTGTTTCTCCAAATGCTTTTGAAATTATCATATAGTCAGCCTCTATGCTTTATGCACTAAGTTTTATTTACTGTTGGCTTTATGATCTAGTAATTAATCTTACCCTGGCATGTGAAATTGAATTGTTCTTCAAATAAAAACTCTGATTAGCAATGTGTACCCCAGAAAGCTCTCCCTGCTTCTTTCTGTCTCAGGGGTGTCCTTTATTGATAAGTAAGTTGTAGGTCCCCTCAGTCCCTGAAGGCTGGTTACTGGTAGCCTTACCAAGCTTTTTTTTTCTTTCTTTCTTTTTTTCTCAACATCCTAGTTATTGGAGTTAAAGCAGATACGAACCCAGGTTTGCTGTATTGGTCATAGAAAATCTCCATCAGCAAGTTCCAGGTGATGCCTCCGTTGATAGAGTACTCCAGCAGGACCCCTTGGTTGCGGTTGCTCGGTGGAATGAGGCATCCATACATGAAGTAAAACTGGATAAACTCAGCACTGGTGAGGTTCAGATCCACAGTGACTAGCAATCGGCTACAGCCCTAAGGAGAACAGGCAGGACAGGATAAATGTGCCAATAAGGAATATTGATCTCAGATCTTGCAGATTACAGTTTTTCTCTAGCTTTATCATTTTTTAAGTATCTTTTTTTATTTTTTTAAAGATTTATTTATTATCATTTATACTCTGCCTCCATATGTGCCTGCATGCCAGAAGAGGACACCAGATCTCACTATAGACGGTTCTGAGCCACCATGTGATTGCTGGGAATTGAACTCAGGACCTTTGGAAGAACAGCCAGTGCTCTTAACCTCTGAGCCATCTCTCCAGCCCTCTTTTTTTTTTTTTTTTTTGGTAATGCGAGGTTCATTGTATTGTGTTATTACCTCTCTTACATTAGCTGCTAGCATGGTGCCCAGCTCGTGTTAGTTGAGCTTTCAAATTTCAGCATTTGAGATTCAGTGTAAGTCTCATATACTTACATTATGTCATATATTCTAAGGAGGTTTCACGTTAATATATATTTTTATAAGCAAAGTAAAAGCTGGAATTAAAGTAACTATCCAAAGTTTTTATTAATATATATTTAATTATTAGTTAGCATTTGCTAAAAAGCAACAGTTATTAGTGAAGTAACATTTTGACATAACTACTTTTAAAAATTTTATTTACATGTGTGTGAATGTTTGTGTGAGAGTAAGTTTTGAATCCTCTGGAACTGGAGTTACTGACAGTTGTGACCCACCATGTGGGTGCTGGGAATTGAACTCAGGCCCATGGAAGAGCAGCAAGTGCTCTTAACCTCTGGGCCATCTCTCCAGCCCCCAGACATAACTATTTTTTTAAAAAGTGTATATTTTTCTTTTTAAAAATTTTATATTTATTATTTATTACATTTTATTCACTTTGAATCCTGGTTATGGCCCCCTTCCTTGTCTCCTCCCAATCCCACCCCCTTCCTCTTCTTCCCCTATGGCCCTCCCCTAGTGCACTGACAGGGCTGTTCTTCCTTCCCTTCTACCTGACCCTAGACTATCAGGTCTCATCAGGAAAACTGCATTGTCTCTTCTGTGGCCTGGCATGGTTGCACCTTCCAGGCGGAGGTGATCAGAGAACCTGCCACTGAGTTCATGCCAGAGACAGCCCCTGCTCCCCTTACTAGGGTACCCACTTGGAGACTGAGTCTATGGGCTACATCTGAGCAGGGGTTTTAGGTCCTCTCCAAGTATTATCTTTGGTTGGGGTATCAGTCCCTGCAGGATCCCCAGGGCCCAGTTTTTTTTTTTTTTTTTTTTTTTTGTTGTTGTTGTTTTGTTTTGCTTTTTGGCTCTGTTGGTCTCTTGTTGGAGCTCCTATGCCCTCCTGGTTTTTCTATCACCCCTTCTTTCATAAGATTCCCTGTACTCTGCCCAAAGTTTGTCTATGAGTCTTAGCCTCTGCTTTGATACCTCAATCAGCAGAATCTGGAAACAACCTAGATATCCTCAATGGAGGGATGGATACAGGAATTGTGATACATCTACACAATGGAATACTACTCAGCTATTAAAAACAAGAAAATCGTGAAATTTGCAGGCAAATGGTGGGAACTAGAAAAGATCATCCTGAGTGAGGTATCCCAGAAGCAGAAAGACATATGGTATGTCCTCACTTATAAGTGGTTATTATGCATATAATATAGGATAAACATACTAAAATCTATACTCCTAAAGAAGCTAAACAACAAGGAAGACCCTAGGGAAAATGTTCAATCCTCATTCAGAAGGACAAATGCGACAGACATTGGAAGCAGGAGAAGACAGACAACAGGACAGGTGCCTACCAGACATAACTATTCTTAACAGGAAAATTTTAAATGAGAATTTTAAATTTTATTACTGAGAAAAGTATATAATTTAATTATAATGAGATAGTAGCAATGCCCTTTAAAATATTTTAAAATTTATTTATATAAATCTGTGTATATGCCTGTGGTTGTTTTCTGTGAGTGTATGTGCACATGGGTGCATGGGGGTCCATACATATATGTTTACAGACATGTAGAGGTCAGGGCTTGATGGTGGGTATCTTCCTCTATTACTCTCCACCTTACTGTTGCACAGGTCTCTCGCTGAGCCTACAGTTCACTGACCAGACTTGCTGGCCAATGAGCTCTGGACATCTGGCTGTTTCTTCCTCCTTCCCCCAACACACCACTATGCCCTGAACTAGGGTAACACAGGCTACCACGCCTGATTTTTACATGGATAGTGGGGATCCAAGTCTTTATGTAAAGCAGGTACTTACTGACTGAGCCATCTCTCCCCAGCCCCAAATACCATTTATTTAAATAGTCATAGCTAATTTAATGTCATTTATATTAATTATCAACTAATCTTGATAGGTAGCTATTTGTTAGTTAAACATATGTGGAAATCTGGGCTATTCTCACTTCTGCCTGAGGTAGAAGAGTTTCTTGAATATACGTATATTCTCAGTGTTGTCGATTATGAAAAATAATTATGATATATACTTTGCTATTCCTGGGTAAAATATTGGATATAAATAATATATGAACACTTCATTAACACAAATATAAACTCTTTGATAGAGCACAGTTAATAAAAAAATTGAGTGTGAATTGGTTATTTTTTAAAAATTAATTTGCCTATCTAATCATGATACTAGAGAGATTATGCTTTAAAAAAGGCAAAACTTGGCAGCAAAATAAAATGATTAAAATGTTTTCCAAAGGAAAACTTTCCAATATTGCTTCTGCCACTCACAAAATAATATGCTATAAATACAAATGTTCAGTAATTACTGACAAGTTACTCTTTCTGGAATGATTTATAAAAGGATTAGTTGTCACTAATACATTCAAGACAGGCTGAAGCTCATTTCCCAGATTTTTGACTTTTTTTAAATTTTATCCCAAATGTGTTGTGAGCTCAAGCATTTTCAATTAGAGCCTCGTCCAGATGGCGCCCTGCCCCCACCCCCCACTGTACAGGTCCCCTTTCTCAGGATGGAAATCTATTTATGCCCTTTAAAAACGTGTTCTTAAACATCCCTTGTGCTGACACAAGCTGCGTCTTTAAATGGTCTCAAATTTCTGGTCGGAAAATCCTAGAAACATTCATCGCTATCTGATTTGTGTGACTGTCTTTTTTTTTTTCTTTCCATTTTTTTATTTTAATTTTTATTAATTAGAGTTTATTCACTTTGTATCTCCTTGTGCCCCCCCCTTCCCTTTCAATCCCACCCTCCCTCCTTCTTCTCCACACATGCCCCTCTCCAAGTCCACTGATAGGGGAGGTCTTCCTCTCCTTCCTTCTGATCCTAGTCTATCAGGTCTCATCAGGAGTGGCTGCATTGTCTTCCTCTGTTCCCTAGTAAGGTTGCTCCCCCCTCAGGGGGAGGTGATCAAAGAGTAGGCCAATCAGTTCATGTCAGAGACAGTCCCTGTTCCCATTACTATGGAACCCACTTGGACACTGAACTGCCATGGGCTACATCTGTGCAGGGGTTCTAGGTTATCTCCATCAATGGTCCTGGGTTGGAGTATCAGTCTCAGAAAAGACCCCTGTGCCCAGATTTTTTGGTTCTGTTTCTCTACTTGTGGAGCTCCTGTCCTCTCCAGGTCTTTGATCTCCCCCATCTTTCACAAAATTCCCTGTACTCTGCCCAAAGTTTGGCCATAAATCTCAGCATCTGCTTTGATACCCTGCAGGGTAGAGCCTTTCAGAGGCCCTCTGTGGCAGGCTCCTGTACTGTTCCCTGTTTTCTCCTTCAGTTTGTATAGCAGCTTTATTCATAATAGCCAGAACCTGGAAACAACCCAGATGCCCCTCAACTGAGGAATGGATACAGAAATTGTGGTCCATCTACACAATGGAATATTATGCAGCAATAAAAAACTAAGAAATCATGAAATTTGCAGGTAAATGGTGGGAACTGGAAAAGATCATCCTAAGTGAGGTATCCCAGAAGCAAAAAGACATACAGGGTATATACTCACTCATAAGTGGATATTAGATATATAATATAGGATAAATATACTAAAATCTGTACACATAAAGAAACTAATAAAGAAGGAGGACTCTGGCTAAATGTTCAAACCCCATACAGAAAGGCAAAGAAGATGGACATCAGAAGTGACTGTCTCTTGATTGGCTGGTTAAACATCGGAAGGGACTGAGGGACTTGTGTGGAGCTTCGAGGGTGGGGAACCGAGGAACCGTTTGCCGGGTTCTTACCCCGCTGAAGTGGAGAGCCAGCCCGGAAGCCACAGCCCCACACACAGTGCTCAACTTTCCACCGTTCACAGTCAGCCAGTTCTGGTTGGAGGGAGCGCGGTTGAAGTTGTCTTTGAGCTGAGTAGGGAGGGAGACTTCGGGCTCATCGCAGTACAGGCCTCCCCACTGCTCATCGCAGCTGGGTGTGGGAAAAAGGAAAAGCACAGTCAAAGGCAAAGAAAGCTCTGAGCGTTCCCACGTCAAGGAAGCCAACTTTCCTAGCCTAGGATCATGAGAGGCTCTGCTCTGAGTCGCAGGGCTCTGCCAAAGATCGCCTGCCCTCCTTAACAATGCCTGAGGTTAGAGACAGGCTGCCAATCAACCTCCTCCAGGCTTGCTTTTCTAAGCACTGACTAGTGGTTGCAGGTGGAGGAAAAGAGACAGCTTGAAACAGTGTACTGAAGTCCTTACTCAGGTGAACAGCCCTGGACAGCCTGTAGGACTGCAGCTGCCAAACCCAACTGCTGGGTGATAGCAATATATGAAATTGCTCTTTTTTAACAGAAACTTCTGGCCAGTTAGGAGCCGAGTGGGTGCGTGCTAAACAGCAGACAATGCTTCAGAAAACCACTGCCACGCCTGAGTTCTCAGCTCTCTGTTCAGGACAGGACTGATGCTAAAGATCTCTGAGAATGATATAGCGGGTTCTGTGTCAAATATGCGTGCTAAATTGACATGCTTATACTTTATTTTGCAAACAACATGAGAATTATCCACTAACCCCCCAATAAATGCATTCACTTACTTCTCTCCAGACTTTGAATGTGATATATTATTTTTGGTGAGAATATACTGAATTCCTGAAACCTTTCTTTTTTCAAGGCAACGACACAGAAGAAAAACGAATATAGCCAATTATAATTCAGCTTCCTCCTGACAGTGTAGCTGTTCTTCAGGTGCTAGTCATTAAGTAAGAATGTAGTTCTTACTGTCACCAACTCCACTGTTAGCTCAACATTCTATTTCAGGACAGTGCAAAGCTGAGGTGACTTGGGAGTGAGGAAGAAGCCAGTTTTAGAGACCCCCAGGATGCAGTGTGAATCAAGCTCTTTAGACGGAAGAAACTTTCCACTTACACACAGCTTCCCTGGACACATCTCCCGTGGCCGCTGCACATGTCTAGACAGCCGTCGCCGATATAGACGTTATCTATCGCCCACGTCTGCTGCTTGTCGAAAGGCGCTGGTTGATGCCAGCGGAAACGAGTGGCTTGAGACCTTGGGAGAAGACGAGATTTACGATGAGGAAAGCAGTGGAAAAGAAAATGTATCCCAGTCAGCTCGAAGAGCATAGCACAAAAGCGCACACTCCCAGTCCTGGTTTGAAAACAACATTCGTTATTGCGAGAGCCCATACAAACCTCCAGTTAACGAAACTAAGCCGAACAAATAGATTCAGCACATATTTTTGCCCCAGGGATCGTCCTGGGTTCTGTAAGGGAAGAGTATATCAGAGGCTAAAATCTAATCCTAAAGCCGGAGGCCTCCAGGGAACAATAAAGGTCTGCATTTTGCATGGAAACCATTGTGCAGAGACTCAGGGCTGTAAGCGGGAGAAGGATGCCTGTCCTTGAGCAGCTGTAACCCTTCTGCCTTTAACTTGAGGGCAGAATGTGGGATGGGTTTCATGCCCCCCCCCGCCCCTGCTCTCTAGGTCAAGACGCTTTTGTGCAGTGGCACATGCATCCGCCTCACTCGGCATCCCTGAGGAATTGTCCTGATGACCGTAAAACAGAGAGAGCAATGAGACCCAAGATGATTGCATAGAGAGGGGATAATAAATAAAGCCAGGCTTCTTTTACATTGATTAAAAAAGTGAGACAAGTAAAAGTAGCTCAGAAGTTCTCCATCCCAGAAGCAGAGGTATATACTTCCTCTTCCACAGGGGGGAGAGCAGCTTGTTCGGCATCACAAACACACACATTCAGAGGCGCTAGGTGGCAGTAAAATCCAAACAATACCCAGGACCCATGCAAACATGGAAAACTTGCAGAGGAAATAATTTGCGTTTATTTGAACCATTGTTATTTTATACTAACAGACTTAATGTTTTGATTGGAGACTGTCCATTTCAGGAAGGGAAAAAGATGAAATAACAGCAAGAGTCATATTTTCTAATTGAAAATACATAGAATTTATTCAATAATTAAAAAAGAAGAAGAAGAACAAGGCTAGAATGAAGATTTTCATCCTGGGAAACAGCTTAGTCCAAACATCCTGGGAAATGGCTTAGTCCAAACATGTCCTGAGCATCCTGGCCCAAACTGATTTCTCCACCACTCTTGCTCTCCAGCTCCCAGCAGAAGCATCTCTGCTCAGATATTTCCCTTCACTTCTTACTGCAATGATTTCAAGCCCCAAACAGCTCTCCCTGGACCATGAGCTGGGCCTGAGCGGTCCCTTCTTCTGGCCACCTTTTCAGGGAGACACAGTTTCCTTCCTGGCACATTTGGCCATAAGGCAGCACGTGGGGCAGATCCTCTTTGCTCACCACTGATGTTACTGTACAGGGACAGAGACTGATATTCAGGGGCCACTGTTTTCACAGGGGCAATGCTGTATTGGTGACTCCCCTCCCCTGCTGGTGCTCTGCAGCTCGGCGGCTCTGCTCTTCTAAATGACTTGGCTCATTACTATTTCTGTTTCTATACAGAAACATCTGTAACACAGAGGAACACCACATTTTTATAGCTCACAGCCATGCATTCGGATATGCGGCCAACATGCACATTCATTACGTCTTTTGTTTCTGACTACACATTTTCTGGAAGGCAGGACATATTGTTTTGTGTCCTCAGCACTGAGAGATAATAACAAGTAGTAAACTTTCCCTGTTCCCCAATATCATATACACGTTTCGCCCAAGCCCTTGTCGCCTTATGGACTGTCCACTTTTAAGCAGTTTCTTTTGTTAGATGATTCTCCCTATTTGCCATCTCATTGTCTGTAGCACTTATAACTGGGATTTCATAAACATCTTCTGAAAGTGACAGCAATAAAGATTCCTAGCAAATGCAAATAAAAGCCTCTTTGCAGGGTGGATGAAGACGAAGTGGGGTCACGTGCAGGGACAGTAGTTTGATGGCTGTCAGAGGAGAAGAGCCGGGAGGTGGCACAGGCTGCCTAGCAGGTGGTGGCTTTTTGATCACTGGTTTTGTTCAGTCACAGTCTGGGCAGCCTCCGAACAGGAGATTTAAGAGCCAGATGAATTGCTGGAGGTGACAGCCTTTGTGGCGACTTCCAACCCGGCCTTTTTCAGTCTGTGCCACTCTCTCGAGTTCCACAGAAAAAGAATCAGTAGGGGACCGTGTGAAGACTGTACTAAAACTAGAGTTAGCCAATGGGTCTAAAGATAAGTGAGTGCTCTAATTTGTACTCTGGCACCAGTGAGTTCTATGTTCATGGTGAGCAAGTAAATGTTTAGACACAATAAGGAGGTCAAATATGACAATTTCTAAGCCCCTTTGAAATGAAATGGTTTTATATTCTTAGGAAGAGCGATATCTGGTAATCACATGCTCATAGGCAAAGGCACATGCATTATCTGTTATTATTTTATAGGAAGAAGAGGAAGAAGAAGAGGAGGAGGGGAGAAGGAAGAAGAAGAAGAAGAAGAAGAAGAAGAAGAAGAAGAAGAAGAAGAAGCACTTTCATTAAAGGAAAAAAGTGCAATAACAGCTCAGAATGAGAATAAGAAAGTAGAATGCAACTTCTAAGCCTTTCCAGTAAAACAACTTATTCCCAGGCCTGCCTGGCCTCACTGTGAGAGGGGCCAAATCACTTAAGTCTACATGCTGACACCTTCCCATCTGCAAAGCCCAGAAAATGCTGCTTCCTGACTCACAAGGGTGTTGTGAAAATTAATTAGTTCATGTTTACCGAGACCTACGAGTGCTCTGGCGCATCCCTCGGCAGGTGTCATTGCTCATCCTGAAGGTCCCTTGTAATGATGGCCGCTACCAGCTGCTGCTTCTCAGAGTTGGAGGAAAAAGGGCCCCAGAGCAAATTTCTTATTTTTACATACCCTTGAACTCTCTCCTTTTGATCATTTTCTAAATTTATACCGTCTCCTCCCCATCAACATGCTGAAAGTGCTTCAAAAGTGTCGGCTAGTAAATACCCACTGCTAAAGCTTAATATGTTCCTACAGGCGACACATTTCCTGTTCGTGGCCACACTATGCCCTTCTCCCATGATGTGGCCACACCTTTCTAACAGGTTTTAGTACATAATTCATACTCTTAGATTCTGCAGAATGACTGACTCCATTTAGCCATGAAGACTTCCTGGTCGTCATCATGATAAGAACTTTGAAAGAAGCCATACCAGCCCTTTCAATGTTTCCGCTCTTGTCTTACCAGACATCACTTTTGCTCTCAAAGAGATACACAGAGTACCCAAGCTGAGTGTTAACTGGCTGATGAAGATGGCAAGCGAGGGGCAGTGACCCAAGCCACACACCACTTCACTAAGAAACCTGTAAGGTAAGGCAAGGCTCACTTGACTTATCAGAGTATTAGTGCACACTCTCTGTCCAGCCTACAAAGAGGAGCAACAGAGCCAGAGGTTAAAGGAGGCTTAAGAGATATTTTCACCAATTATCCTGATTTGTATACTGACTTGCAAAACCTTTATGACACGCTTTGTGAGATGAGGAAATCTGAGTCATGAAGAGTGAGAAGATTCTGAACTAGAAATTGCCATCTTTAGCTGTGATAATCGCAGCACAGTTTTCCTTAAATGTTCTGCTCCTCTAGTGACATGCACTGAAATATTTGCACTTGAAAGGCTACGATGTCTCGAATTTGCTTCAAAGTAGCATGGGGTTAGGAGAAAGTGAGGCTACTTCCGGACCAAAGTTAGTAGTGCACGGAGACCAGCCAATCAGAACCTGGGATTCTGGGATATGATTCTCTTTAATGTTGTATATTTGCCTTTTAAATAAGTAGAATATAAGCCAACAAAAATCCCTTCAAAAGCACAGGAAAATTTTAATTTCAGAATTAAAAATAAAAGGGAATGGGTCTCATCTTTAAGCAAAATAACTTTAAAAATCAACTGTGCCAAAAAAATCACAGAAAGCAATAATAAAAACTATAATGTTTTGAATAAATCCACAGAGGGCCTCAATCCACTGGACCAGTTGTTGGATATATGGCATTTCTGATAGTTTACAACTTATCTTTTCAATGGAGGATGATTACATTTAGCTGTGAACGCAATCTTAATAATTCACATATATGTATATATGTGTATACATATGTATATATGTATGGTAGTAAGTTGGCAGTCCATATGGCTCAGAGACAGCTGTGCCTCTACTATAGAACACATGGACATAGGTTTAACCTGTTTAACATGAATGCCAATGTAGCAATGTATTTAGTAAGGGGGATTCAGTGGTACTATGGCTTATACAACATTGCTATGTTTTGTGGACCCAAAGAAATATCAACAAACAGTAGAACCACAGCAGTGACACTCCAAGTATCAAATAACACAGGAAAAGACGACATGTAAGACATCTCTGGCTAGTTTTAAGATTTGGAGTAGGCTGTTCAGTTATATGAATGCTTGCAAATGAAGCCTCTAGAAAGATTACGTTGTACTGGAATAACCATGGACAGAAATAAGGAGTATCCAGGCAGCTGTAAGAATAACTCTTTAGCAAAAATGAACTAACTCATGACTCTTTTAGATATTTGAGGAGCATGGTTAAATGTTAAGCTTACTGGTTTGGTTCTGTTTTCTTCACTTACAGTTGTATGTGGTGATGTCACTGAAGAGCAGCCTTCCCTTCTAGACTTACTTTGCTTTTGCCCTCTCACCACCATCTCTGTCCTTCTATATACTTGTTCTTTCTGGTGCTTCTCGTTTTTTCCTTTTAACTTCCCACAGATTTTTAATCGCTTCCCTTCTGTGGCTAAAGCACCCAGCTTCCAACGTGTGTGTTGTAGTTAATCTTTAAAGAGGATGGCACCAGCTGGGCTATTAGGGCCAGTAGGAATGGATCATTTTCAAGTTGACTTAAAATAGCCAAGTCTCACCTGAGCCGTCCTGTGGTCACTCCTCTCTGCCCTTTCTCAGTGGATTTGAGTTACCTGCCCTTCCAGTGACTCCCTGCTTCTCAGGTGACACTTCAAGAACCTAGGCCACTTGAACTAGCTGCTATTTTTAAGTCTGGTTGGTAATGCAGAGGAAGGCAGATTCAGTCGGGGGGTATGTAATGGATTTTTGACATCATCCTGCCTTTCCTTCAGATTTTCCATGTCACTCAGCATTCTATTCTATTTTCTAGGACCAAATCTCATAGGCAAGTAATAAGGACACATTATTGATACAGTGGTAAGGCCATGGGCTCTTTGGCCAGACAAACTATTTCTAGTAGCTCAGAAACTATTCTAGTAGCTCTGATGCTAACAATTGTAAAACAAACAAACAAACTAATCCTGTGAAATGTTTTTGAAACTTTTTTCTTTTCCGTGGCTGCTGTTACTGATCTTTTCTTGCACGACAATCACATTTTACTTGACAACTGACTCTTCTTGCTTCCTTTGTGATCCATTTCCACTCATCTGTTCTCTTGTGGACTGTGGATTCAGTTACAACATCATCACTAGACTTCCAACTTCAGACTTGGGCATCTTCACATGCAAAAGAGGTGTGTGTGTGTGTGTGTGTGTGTGTGTGTGTGTGTGTGTGTGTGTG